TGTCTCCACGGGCATTCCTTGTGCTCTTGACGTCCCTTATGGACATCCTGATGTCCCCATCGGCACCCCTTGCCACCCCAACGCCCCCGTGGGCACCCCAGCACCCCTCCCCGTCCCCCTGCCGTCCCTCCGCGGCCCCCGCCGGACGACTCACTTCAAGACCTGTCTGCCCGGCTTCCCCTCTGCCCCCTGCGCCATCAAGATCAGCAAGGTGGGTCCTGCCCCACGGCGGGGGGGGCCCACAGCCCAGTTCTCCTGCCCTCCTGGGTATCCACCAGCACGTCCCTGTCCTCTACCGCATGTCCTCCCTGATGTCCCCTGCTATGTCCCCTGTCCTCACCAGCGTATGTCTCGATCCTCTGTCACATCTGCCGTCCCTGCTCCCCACCACGTCCCTTGTCGCTGTGCCCCACGGTGTCCCCCATCCCTATGGCCTGGCTGACACGTCCTTGTCCCTAACTGTCCTCCATACTTGTGTCCTAGCTGATGTCTCCCATCCCCCTACCGTGTCTTCTGTCCCTTGCTGTGTCCCCCATCCCCATGGCCTGGCTGACGTGTCCCTGTCCCAGGCCATGTCCCCTGTCCTCGTACCACATCCCCTGGTTGAGGTGTCCCTGTCCTCCACCACGTTGCCATCCCCTGGTTGAGACGTCCCTCTCCCCCACTGTGTCCCCCATGGCCTGGTCCATGCGTCCCCATCCTGCCCCGTGTCCCCTATCTGCGCGCTCTAGCTGACACATCCGTGTCCCCTATCCCACGCGTCCCCGTTCCCCCTCCGTGGTGAGCCCCATCCCACATTCCCCTCTTCATCTTTGCCCGGCAGAGCCCAGACGGGGCCCACCTGACGTGGGAGCCTCCCTCGGTGACGTCGGGGCGCATCGTGGAGTACTCGGTGTACCTGGCCATCCAAGGGGCCGGCGGTGGCGGCGGCGAGGCCAAGGGCGCCCCGGCCCAGCTGGCCTTCATGCGGGTCTACTGCGGGCCCAGCCCCTCCTGCCTGGTGCAGTCCGGCAGCCTCTCCACCGCCCACATCGACTACACCACCAAGCCGGCCATCATCTTCCGCATCGCCGCCCGCAACGAGAAGGGCTACGGCCCCGCCACCCAGGTCCGGTGGCTGCAAGGTGAGCGGGAGCGGCCCGGACGCCGGGGCCCCCGACCCCGCTGCCGCCCTGCCGGGT